CAGGGATGCAATCACTTGCCTTATACGGAATGATAACAATTGTATCATCCACCATGGTGAGTTGTAAGGTGACCACGTGAAGCCAAGTTAATAGTGACTGGGCGTGTTCGTCACGTGTAGTAGCCTACCAAAACGATGACGAATTTTGTTTTTCACATTTTGCATGGTGGGCCAGTTGGGCAGTCTATCTGAATGTAAAAGTTCCAAAACATGTTCCTTCAAGATTGAGTACAACTGGGCTGGGTCACATCATTTTCTTTCCGAGACAAACCCACATTTTTCAGTCAGAAACTACTGTGTACCGACTGAGCTCCTACGGGAACAAGAACGGAAAAACAATTTCATGGAACTCCCTTGCTCTTGGGATGAGTCAGCACCGGTGAGATGGAGTATATGCATGCACGATTCACCAACTGATTTGCTAGTTGCATACGACTGGTGAAGCGGGATAGGGAATAAGGGGCAATCATTGGTTTGGAAACAAAGTGTTGTAAGATTAGAGTGGAAAACAACCTGTTTCAAAAGTTGGGTGTGTAAAAACCAAAAGCCAGAGATAACCATGCAAGCTATCAAGCTCGTTCACTTCGCATGGTGTTTAGATCTTGTTCGCTGTATGAGTGCAAATCTCTTAGCCTCCTAGTGTATAATCAGCGTCGATAACTCTACTGTTTTCGCATTCTAAATACCAACCACGACGTGTTCGCTGCACGACAAAAATAAACATTGATTATCTTGAACTCCATTGTCTGGACACTCGACGAACTTCATTGATATTTTGCTCAATAAACAAGTAAGCTTTCGGAGGCACGATTGTTAGATTTTGCTGAGAGTACGCATTGCAGATGTCGTAATTTACGCCTTGTGACATACTGATGCTGCCGGTTTCTAGTCTTGTGTGTTTGGGATGTTACCTGACGCAGATTCGTTACATCTATCTTTCTGCCTAAGGAGAACATCGAAACCAATCACCGTGGTTTTTGTAGAGCTTCATCGTTGTTTGTTTCAGGTTACATCAGTTAATGAGTGGACATTGCAGAAAACTATTGCTGAACCGCTTTCCGGACGGAGTAATCTGGAAACCAAGTGACTGTCAGTGGGTATGGGAGCAAGCCGTGGGCACTTGTTAAAGAGAGCAAAAACTAAGGGGGCGGCAAATCGAACACAATGACCAATCAGCGCGTTCAGTTGCAATTCGGTCACACCCAGTCAAGCATCCACCATGTGTCGATAGGAGTGGTAAGAAGATTGACCAAGATTAGTGAAGTCCTTCATACATTATATATATAATGTTCCGGATATCAGTCGGCCATCTGTATGTGCGTATTTAGTTACTTTGACATGTTTATGTACCTTAACCTTTGCTTGTGTGCCGCCTTAAAAACTGTGTGGGTATAGTCCGCATTGCATTCAGGACACTTGTTAATACACATGACTTACCGCACAAAGCTAACGCTCCTCGCTCCTGTCCAGTGTCTCAGTACGGCACGTTAAGCCGTGACGAACATCAATAGCTCAACAGAGCGCCTCAGTGTTATTTGGCCAATCAGATTGCGCAAGCGTGAATCCAGTGCAATACAGCCAATGGCGTGACTGCAAGCACGACCTTTCCTACGGTAGTATGAGACAAAAAGGTTTAATATGAGCGTGGACGGAGCAAACAGGTTTCTGGAAGTGAGAGGGTTTGATTTTGGAACAGATTTGAGAACGGTGCGCGTCCAGTGTTGGAAATCCCTAGATGCTTCAAGCATCAAAGAAACTCTATCAATCGATCTTTCATCCTGCAGGTGAAGTCAATCTGTGCCGAAAAGCCAGTGGAAGCCTCACGAAAAATCTAAAGTATTTATTTCCCTAAGCTACTTATAAATCATTAATCGTGCGGATAGGTCAAGTGTGGACACACTAATTTACAGATAGCTATTGATTTCGGTTCCGAAATTCGAAGATTTCCATAACGCAGTGATCGACGTTCGACATACAAGAAGTTCACATGTGCAGGCCAATTTGTTCGGACAAACATGAAGTGATTTATCACATATTTAAGCAAAAATTTGTTTTAATCAGACTCTGCTCACCAGTTTAAAGACTAAGATTTAGTGAGGTCACCATTGCCAACAAGAAGAATGTTATCAAGCGTTCAGAGGCCTCCGCATGCTCAGACTTTCATATAGCCTTCACTTTAAACTTCAGAGCCCCCATACGTCAGGTCGAAAGTGGTCAACGGTTACTGAGCCGAAATTTGTTCTGTGATTAAATTTTGGATGCCTTTAACTTATGGAAGTCTTGATAACCAAGTTCTATGTGTACGATAGGCAAATGAGTTTTTACCACTTGGTTTGAGCTTGATCAAATCTCAAACCCAGTCTGCAAGTGAGTGCCGTTTAAGAGGTTTCCTTTTGGCTTCGTAGTCTCACATATCAACAAAAGTACATTAGATTTTTTGAAATCATTGAAAGATTTTCTCAATTTCCGTTTGTCTCCATTCTTAAGCTACTATCTTGCTGGCCCATAAGGATGAGCCCTATACTCAAAGCCACTTTTTCAGAGCTCATTTGAACTACACACCCCAACATTTAAGTGCTTTCCTGTCAGAAGCAATCGTTTAGATGGTCAGATGGGATTCGGGAGTGATTCAGGCTAAGCTTCTTTGATTCAAATAGGAAAAGGTAGTCAAGCGATGGGCGATTCTTTTGGATCATTAACAGAGACTAATTTAAACTCCTTTATTTAGCCGGATCGAGATTAGTCTGCAGACGGCAGGCGTGCTTGAGCATACACCTGAAACGGTTGAATGTGGTACGAGTTTCAGGACAATCTACGAACCTTCACTCTGCGGTTTTGATCAGAGTCACTGTAGATTTACCAACCACATAATGACATGCAAAAAGTTCACGTTGTCTGAAGGAACATAACCACACTGAAGAAGCGTGGTATAATGACTACACAATTAGACCCCCACCAACAGCCAGTTTAAAAGACACTATCAGCATGACCCGCGTACAAAATATTTAGACAAAACAAACGTACTTAATATACCTGCAAGAGAATCTCGACACAGCCTGCATGCTTCGCATTATGCGGAATAAGATAGCTTCAATGGGGCTGTCAATACAAGCGAGAGTGCTCACGACGGTTAAGTTCAGAAGGCATATGAAGTGATGAATGATGATATTTTATTCTTTTAAACCAGCACGCATGTTGTGACTAAATTAGTGCTGACTAATGGGTTTCCCCCCAACGATGGCCGCCGGTCCGATCCATCAACAGCTGTTGTACAGCAGAATGTGTGGGGAGTACGACACGACGACTATGCTAAAAAAAAGTTAAACGCAGCCGTTTTTGGCCCCGAACTGCTGCAAGCTCGATGGTCCCTTACTTGGATGACAAAAGTCACGTGATCAATTCAAACTGTTTTGATGGAAAAAAATGGCAAGTCGAAAGACGGCTTTATAAGGTGATCCTTGTGTGTGTAAACTGCAGTAAGGAATATCAGCTGATTCCTTCGCTGATGATCTGGATATCTTGAAAATGGAGTGGAACTGAGCACATGGTTTTCTAGACGGAACTACTCGTAGAACCTCTGGAAGCTCTTTCACGGCTCACGACAGATTTTGTCTTTCATGGGACTTATCAGATGGGTGCAGGTTCGGAATTTCCACAAACATTGTGTTCTACTTAAACCGAAATTGTGCAAAATTCGCCAAATTTGTAAACAAATTTGATTTTAACAACAGAATCTTTAACTTCACTCGCTGGGTACAGTATTCACAACACAGAAAGGGTAATTCAAAATGAAATTGTCGACGGTATTGAAAAGGGAAACACCCATTTTCCTGTAGATCAAAACGCACGAACCAGCAGGATTTTTATAAAATCTGTAATTTTCCTGCCAAGATATAAACCAAGTCGTGGGATTTACAGTTAGCAGTTGGTCAATACCTAGAGGTCGACTATCCGCCGTTACTGTGTGATCACAGATGATGACAAACTGTATTCGACAAATACACTCGTTTGCAAATCAATTTGGTTTTTACGACAGACTCAACTGAACCTTTCGTTTATGATATTCTACAACTGAATGTGCTGCACACGGGCCGGTTTTGCCCTTGTTGGGGCTCATCAGGTAGGTGCAGTCCCCGAGTTTCTGTCAGCCTTATGTTCTACTTGAACCCAAATTGGACTGTTTTTGAGAAATACACTCATTTGCAATTAGAACATAAGTTTGACGGGAACTTGGGGACTGCGCCCACCCAAAAAGGGCGAAACCGGTCGTGGGCCGTCGGAAAGTTATCAGCAACCTTGTGAATAGATTCCTTTATGACAAGCTGTAATTAGATGCGTTTAGTTCTGATCGTAGGATCATGTTCATTTTAGTTCTGATTTTCGAACACTTGAACAAAACGTATTATTGCAAGCCAGCCTGGTCGACTCTGCGTACGATTATACTGTAATTAAGAGTGTTGGATGTACAGGTGCGCTTGACAAAGACCAGGGGAATATTTGTCAAGTAGCAACAAATTAGGCAGTGGAACTAAATTTCCCTGAAGAAGAATGACCATCCATACAAACTGACTTCGAGAATTACCAAGTTTGGTAACTCTAGTCAGAAGGCCTGAATCACGAACTCCAGAGAAAAAGGGCTCGACTACTTTAGTGCCCCCGAATTTATCGAACATTTTGACTTTGGGTCAGTACGACTGCTTCCAGTCTGTGTGAATGAAGTTTTTATACTGAACAAAGTCCAGTCTGTGGGAGTCTGCAGGAGTTGTATCTTCCCATTACTGGGCATTTGCCTGAATCTGTCAAGAGGACTCCGAATAGCGGTATTTTCTTGGTCAGTTGTTTCATGATTCAGCTGCCGGCATTTCAGTTGCCAGCCAGGCAGACTTTCCACATCCACAATGAGCAATAAGTTATGAGACAGTGCAAGTCTTCACTTGTTCCTTAACACAATCTAGGAGTTTCAACAATCCTCGTTATTCGATATTTTCATTCCATCATAGATCCCATCCTGTCGTGTATGCTCAGTTCAAGAGACAGGTTATTCGTCAGGTTACTTCCTGCCGAGCGTCTAAACGCAGTTGGTGGAAATCAAGCTCATATGGAAACCGTACTGTTGAATGTCTACAATTCCAAAGAATCCAGGCGACAAGTAAGGACTGTTCAAGGTCAAGCCACGCAACGGTAAGTTGCTTAGGCAGTTATGTGGAAATGTAGTGAATTCTAATCCCGACGCAAGAATTTTGAGCAAATCGTCAACTTCCATGTGCATTAATGAGGCCGCTAAAGGTGAAAGCTCTGTTCAAACTATTACCATTCCGACATCCGCTGCTACAAATTATTGCTGTTTTTTCTAATCTGCTCGCAGGCTTAGATCGAAATCACAGTAAGCGAACTCAGCCACAACAGAGTTTGCGGATTTTTGAAAGGGTCCTGTTGCAGGGTTACCTCTAGTCTTCCACTTTGTGCTCGTACATTTTCCGTTATCTTCTGAGTATGTAGAGACGTCCTCTAAGATTCCATACATTCAGTCCATCCAGCAGTACATTCCGAGTAACAGGATGATGCCACGTCTATACTCTCACTCTAGGCACTCCGCACGTTTATACAAAATGGGTTTGTGCAAGACCCATATCAAATAATAAATTGTCTCATGGAATGAGTGGATTCCTAAATGGAATTACTGGATGGATGTGAATGCCTGTGTAGAGAGTACATGCCTGCGAGTAGGTGGTAAACAACAGTTGATTTGCCTGGAGCAATTTATTCTGACCCTGGGCGATTATTATTTGCTGATATTCCTACAGAGATCGCTGTTGTTTGCCAGCGGGTAAAAACAGTGCAAGTAGAAATATACACAATTGAGTCCAAATCGGAAACTGTCACCTTGGCATACACTGACCCAAATTAGTTGGGACATTGTTCCTATAAATTTAACCGTACTGGGAATCCTAGTGAAACAATGAGTGGCCATTCATCCTTCTCAGAGTGGTCGGACTGCCGGGCGAATTGACAGTGAAGTTGTGGTATTCGCTGCGGCAGAAGTAGCGATGCTGTCTTCCGCCGTGTGACCGTAGGCCGAGAAAAGTTCAGCCTGAAGATCACATACGATGTTCTTTCAAATGTTTTCGGTGACCATCCACCCTGAGGATATCCTACAGTTCGGTGCAACCAAGTTTGGGCACATTTTGTACACCACAGTGTCGAGTGTTAAAGTCATTTCGCAATCCCTGTATCTTTGGGTTGGACAAACCACTCACAACCTAGTGGGTCGGATCACCGATTTGCTGGCTTCAATGAAACTACCTCGAGTTGACAAGCCACTGGTTTATGGCTGTAATCGGTGAATCAAAGGACCAAATCAGAGGCCATGAAGACCTGGAAAATGTGCCGGTTACCCTACAATCAATGAAGGCACACCGTCTTCAACCTTGAACCTGTTTTGTTGAATCAGTCACTACATGAGGAGAAATCAGCCTAAAAACAGTACGGTCCTATTTTCAGGGCACTCCGACGCTACTTTCAGCAAAATTCGACTGCCTGGTGAAAAAGTTTCATCGTTTTCACTGGTCTGAAACTGCTCAAGAGAGGTGAAGGAAATGCGGAGTCAGATTGACAGCCTCCACTTAAATGGTACAACACGGGGTGAGTTCAGATACGTCAGAGTGAGGATTAAAACTATCTGTCTTCAGCTGTTGGGAGGGTTTTGCACAGCGCCGTTGTGAATGCCTCAAATATGTCCTCTTGCGAGCCGGAAATGTCTCGCAAACAGTGTTCGGTTCGCTTATCGCTTTTTTATCGTGCGTCATTTCAGGGCCCGGGTAAGTTGAATTTGGAGTTGCGAAAGTTGATACCGATATATAGTCACGAGTCACTTTGTGTATCTATGAAATCATAAAGGGTTCTTAAAAAGCACTGGAATAAATCAATTGGTTGGAGGTGGGGCTCAACTGGGCCAAGATTTTGCAACACATTGGTTGCGTAGAAAGCACTCTGCGACATGAATCATGAAGGGGAAATAATTTGGCTCTTGTCAGTTGTTCAGAACAATGGTACATCGATTCCGTACCCTCCCAGCCACTAAAAAGTTTTTTTTAAATTAAATCCAACTAGAAATTCATCCACTAGTTCTGCAGACAGCTGTACATCATTTATACATTCGGAAGCGGATTCGCTGTGACCGGCCACGGTACCATATTCAGGAGTATCGTGCCTCAGTCTTTTTTTGAACCTTTGCATTTTATCAACAACGCCAACTGAATTCACATTGCTAGCTGCCGCATAGCATGTTGCTCGGATTTATAGAGTTTCTCTTTAACACTTGATAATAAGTACTGGACGAAATGGTCGGATAATCTGGCAATATGCCATCTACATATAAACAGTTGGAGAAAATAGAGTCTCCATATGGACGCCGAGGTTGCAGTGTACTAGCGTCACTACGGTGAAACTCAAGCGCATTTCTCACGGATTTTATTTTTAGTTCCCTCACAATATCCTTCGGATTCAGTGATTACATCGTATTCCAACAGTGGAATACCAACTCAGTATTGTGGTGATGCGCACGAAAACAACTCATCTATAATTAATCGAAAAATGGACTAAATATCGCCGATGAATTTTGGCATGTGCCCGGTAACAAGCGCGTCAATGGTCGCATCATATACAAAACAACCGCAGTCGCATAGACCTATACAGCGTGAAGACAGTTCCCGGTAGAGCAGGACTCGTTGGTCACCAGAGTCTAACCCTAAACCATCACAAAAGCAATACGGTAATTTTGCTCCAATTTCTAAACAAAGTTGCTCTCATATAAGAAGACAACAATATTAGTAGTCGTCAGGGTACTAGTTCATTACGCGACTAATCATCCGCATTCAAGGTGCGCTCTAGTGGACGTTCTCCAGAAAGCAGTGCTACAGTAATCTATCTGGAGGACATCCGGTTTCTCTATAAAACTTAAAAGAATCGGCGGATTGTGAAAGTGTTACGGTGCAAGAAAACCAAGACTGTTGCTCACTGTTGTGTCATCATGCAAAGACTACCTGGTAGATCACAACATACCTATATGTGCTTCTATGTCGACCCTACTCACTGAAGTAGGGATCAACGCCGCACAGACCGCTATTCCTGCTTTATTCATTTGCTCAGGCGTCCAGATTTTCACTTACCGTTGACCGGTTAGCCCCTCTCGTGTGTCAAAGATCATACGAACAAATACGTGCCTCTTATGATTAGCATCTGAGTATGGCACTAGTGACAAGGCTTGCTCCACTGTATATGTGATAGGCAAATGTCCCCTTCTTAATTAAATGGCTCTCATTGTCTGGCAGAAGGAACACTGAGAGGACGGACATTACATTCTCGACAATACTGTGGTAGCTGCTTCACGTATTCTACTCTCAGCACTGCTCGAATGAAAACAGGCTAGTTTCACTGTCCACATGCACCGTCAATCCTTGGTTTATACAAGGCATGTTGCTGTGTTGGCACACGGATTTGCTCAGGTTCAACAGGCACCAATCCGGCCAGAGTTTGGTGGTCCAGCGAGACAATTGACTGCCTATGTTTCACGTCTCAATCGGGTAGGCTGTGTGATGCACCAAATAAATGTAACATTTGCAACTTCGATTTGAGCTTTTTTTGTCTTTCATTCCCACGAAGCAAATGAAAAGCCAATTGTCTGACTGAGTGTGGAAAATTGATTCATTCTTTTTTCATCGGTTTTCAGCTGTGTGCTTAAGCACGTGTCATTTGCACAAGCTCTCGAAATTTTCATACGATTGTGCCAGTTTCAAAACGGCCTTGAGGTGAAAGGTCGATTTTGACCTAGAAACTTGTGCTTTCGACTAGGTATATCCGTTAAATGAATTAATTCCGGAATTCGAACGATACATTGTTTTTATTTTTCACAATTTTGACCTGCAAACAGAATTTTACTTTCTGGCACTCACGTAACTGAGGTGTACCCCTTCGGAAGTGATTTATATACACCTAATGAAACTACCGCATAATTCTTTATCTTTGATGGACTGCTATTATGACTGGCCCAAAACAGGTCCCTTGAAGTAATGTATAACAAATAATTCTTCGAACGACTGAGAAACTCTTGATAAGGAAGGGCTGTTGGGCTGTAAAAGACACCAGCGTTTGACAGGATTGTAGACCACAATCTGGATTATCCATTATGCACATCAAAGGGGAACACTGGACTCTAGTTCCGCTCTTATTGGGGCTCATCAGCAGTGCAAATCTAATAGCCGTGACGGGGCTTCACTCTAGTTCCGCTCTTATTGGGGCTCATCGGCAGTGCAAATCTAGTAGCCGTGACGGGGCTTTAACTGCGGACATCTGACGATGCGAGGCAAGCGTGTTACCGCTACTCCATCAGCGCACAATGGATACATTTGAATACTCACGTCTGAACAGGGGAGCGTGCTCACGCTTCAGCAATATGATTGGCACTCGATGCGAGGCGTGTTACCGCTACTCCATCAGCGCACATTGGATACATTTGAATACTCACATCTGAACAGGGAAGCGTGTTCACGCTTCAGCACGACAGCTCGAACGACGTCCCAGTAACTCTCCTGGATATGATAATCGAGTGACCCGCCTCTCAGGGGCAGGTAGCCCCAAAGACACGCTCGAACGACGTCCCAGTAACTCTCCTGGGTATGATAATCGATTGACCCGCCTCTCAGGGACAGGTAGCGCCAGCGACACTTGAAACCCCCTGGGGAATGGTATTGAAGCCTATTCATTCACGACATCCGTTGTTGACGTAGACTAGGACGAGGATAACAGCTCTCACATCCTTGCTTCCTCTACTACAGGCGTATGTCCTGTCCGATTCGGTCAGACATCCATTGAAATTAGACAGGCATCCACGGTGATATCCGAAACCGTGTCCATCTGGGTGTGTCATAGGCACGTACGGCTTGTATACCAGGTCACAGGCACATATTATATACGAGAATACAACGCGACCGGCACAGTTTTCTGCCAGCTGATTGATGGTCTTTTCTCGCACGCATGACTCAGTCAACGTACATGCGGACATCTATCTCTGACCTACATGAAATAGGTTGTCATTTTCACGAAAATTATATGGCCTCAAATTCTGATGACAGTATCACAAACGATCACGCTAATTAAACCGTGTCACTTAAGGAGTGAACCGCACGTTCAACTGAGAAGCAAAAGCATACCATTGTTAAGTCTGAGTGTAGAGTTGTCCTATAAAGTGAAGCAAGGTTACACAAAATCAAGTCTCGAACAACAACAAAGCAATTCGAATTTGTGTGGGTCAAACATGGGGCCTGTTGGCAGTTCGTAGTAAGATGTCATGAAGTACCAAAAAGTGGGGGGAAAGTAACTCGTGAACTCTCACAGGGAATGACTCTATTCAGCAGACTGTCTTGTCTTTTTGGGACAGTGCTACATGACACTGAGTGTAAGTCGAACTACAGTAGGTGCAAAACAACCAGTCCTTTCTAGATCTCAATAAAAAATCAGCAGTAATGTTGTACAAACAATATTGTGTTACTGATGCCACTCAGTCCATGTTGTAAATTTATAACTTTCAACAAAACCCGCTAGTCCATAACGAAAAACAGTATGTTTTTCCGGACACGAAGTAACGGTTGTTAATCACCGCTGGAGCTGATGGTGTTGTGTATGACGAAGGTCGGGATACTTCATGACAGAAGACTTCCCATCCGTTCACAGTTTATAATGCGCTCACTGTTTAACAGTGGAAACGGTATGATCCGCCACATGAGCAAGAATCGCAGTTATCACCGTTAATGGGACACAGATTCATAAGAGACAATTATTCAAGGGCGACTAAATTCGCATGTGCTACTTCGTATTCACCACCAAGTGGTCTCTGTAGAGGAGATTGACGACCATAGCAATTGGGCGACCAATAGTATTCCAAAGTTTGTTCCCCTGATAACGGAGATCCCAAGTGTTTTCCGCATAGTATTAACGAGTTGTTTGATGTACCACACCATGCATTAAAAAGCGACTTTAATTCGCATGAAGCTAGACCGTATTCAGGAGGGTTGCAGTTTTTAAAGTGGGGTCAAGTGTGTGAACTATCTCAGAAACAGTAAAAGCCCTAGGACATCCAACAGTTTCCAACTACCGTAAATGCTTAATGTATGGGCAATTGGTAGAGCGTATTTATTCCCGTTTGTCGAGAACGTTCTGCTGCAGAGCTGACGCAGTGATCGACTCGAGAAGCCAAGTTTGTATCATGCAGTAAGTAAGGAAGCATAGATTTTCGTCCCAAAAATTTGGTTCTAAACTTTTCAGCACAATACCGAAAACAGTCAACTCCAACCGAAAATGAAAACGAAAATTTGGAGATGGACAGTCGCCCTTCGAACCAACCATACAACCGGTATTTATAGCGTGACCAGATGAACTTCAGAGTTCAGATTATAGTTTATCGCCTAAAGTCAACACATCCTTAAACCATTACTTTCTTTCAGAGTGGAAAGTAGGTTTGCTCTTTGGCGGTGGTCCATAATAAATCTCCCCCGGGGTAGAGCTTGCCGATCACTGCCTCATCAGTGGAAACTTTCATTTCTTGTAGAAAACAGGGCAGAAATTCTTCAAGTGTGGCTGAACGAAGTGCTGCACACTAGCCTCTATTTTATGACTTACACTGTGCACCCCATGAAAGCTTGCGGGGCACAGGATGCCTAATGTTACCATCCAGGCGTGCGACATCTCGGTATATCGAATCATGTGTAATTGTTTTTATTATCCATTGACGCTTGGTGACTGTATTTCAGATGCGGAATATGAA